TCCTCCTAGTCGCAATACATGAAATACTTATTCGAAACTTCAGCATTACATAATCCTTATTCCCGAGTACATCGCTAGAGCATCACATCCGTCGAGCGGTCTCATGCATCACCTAGGACGTGTATAGATCGCGAGAATTCTCAGAGGCATCATCGTCAGAATCATCATATGGGGCAGCATGGCCGCAGTCGTCCTGGACATCAGACATATTAAGTAACGATACATTTCATCAGGGTCTGCGGGTACAAATGGAGTGCTGGGGGGAGTGGGGTTGCTGTCCAAATTTTTTCGTGGTATTTTGTAAAAATCCAGTGTAGATTTGTGGCGGGTCAAAGTATTTTTCAGGAAGCAGTTATCGGTTTTGTTTCGTGATGCAGGTGGAGGAATTATGGGGCCTTAGGTCGCTCTAACTCCGCCCACTTTTGAGATATGGGACAGTTCTGATTCAGCATACCGCCGTTATTCATCCTTTTTTCATTAAAAAATGTTTTGAATATTCGAAAAAAATTATCGGAAAAAATCAAGAAAATCAAAATAAAAAAAATTCGTTCGGTTCCAGAAATTCCGAGAAATCTCGTTTTTTTTTCTTCCAGCTTAAAACCCTGCACCCAAAAAACAAATATAAAAAACCAAAAAATCATGAAATTATTCAATTTATTCAAAAATTATACAAATATTATTAATTTTCAGAAAACAAAAATTATCCGCTGGTTTTGTGGAAGTGTAGACACCCATTGTCTATCAGTATTTTTCTGAAAATGACATTTTCGACATTATTTTTTAAAAAACATGTCTAAAAAACGATGCAAGTTAGGAAGAAAAGCGATGGGGAATCCGGAAAGATTGGGAAAAGTGAAGGCAAGAAGTAACCGTATCAAGGAGCAACAATTCAATGGATTAAATATATTAAAAACGGGGATTTTTTGGTTTTGGTTTTTGGGTTAAACAAGTCAACAACAGTTAAGTAAAAGCACAATCAAATCATGCGAGTAGCCGGAGTAAAACAGCAACGGTGAGAGCACACCACGTGGCAGCCAGAGTAGAAGACGTGCCTGTTACAGTGGATTCATCTGATGGAGGTAGTGAAGGGGAGATTGGTGGCCAACAGTCGTCACCACATTTCTCTTGAAGGGATCGTGTTTGTTTCGCCGAGTACGTCATTTTGAGCTGGAATTTTTATGGGTTTTGGGGACATTATTCGATAGAGAATTTTGTTCTGATTATTTTTGTCTCTTGCTACTTTTTTTCATCTGTCCATTGAACCGAGTTATGAGCGCTTGAAGTTGAGAAAGAGAGAGAGAGAGAGACGCAGACAGGCTAGAGCGTCTGTCTGTCTGCGTCTCTCTCCAATTTTGAACGCTTCTATCTCGGTTCAATGGAAAGATAGAGAAAAATAGCAAGAGACAAAGATGATCAGAATGTAATTCTCTATTGAAAGACAACAAATTTGGTAGGGCTTTATGAAAAAAAAAATGTTTTCACCAAGATTCGATTTTCGAAAAATCATACCAAATTCTACCCTTTCATCGAGAATTTTGAGCTTATCATCCTTTCTCTTGTAACTTTTTGTGCCTTTCCTGTAAACCAAGGTATAGCCGTTTGAAGTTGGCAGAGACGCAGACAGTCAGACGCTCTAGCTTGTCTGCGTCTCTCTCTCTCCCAACTTTGAACGCTTACATCTCGGTTCAATGGAAAGATAGAAAAAATGGAATCTCTTCCTTACCTGCTCCTCTGGATCATAATAATCCACCAATCGGAAATTCGCTGGCTTCTGATCAGCCACTTGATAGGTGACATCCGAATATAGAGACAGGCACACTGGTTTTCCACCCAACTGAAAAATTTGATTTTTGTTGCACCAAAATTGCAAAAATGGGTGGAGCTTCAAAAACCACTTACCGGATTAAAGTAAACATTCATTTTGGTGTCATCTTTCTCCATCTCAACTCTCTGAAGATCCTCAATGCTTGTCAATGTGTGTACTTGCTCAGCATCGAATCGATATCCACTAAGAGCGTCGATTTCAGCCAAGGCCATGTTGGATTTTCCGGAGCGGGTGTAGCTGGAATTTTTTTCAGTTTCGAAGGGTACGGTGGGCGCCTCAGTAAGAAAGAGGGGAATGCGACAGCATCGAGAACGCATTCCCTATTCTTGCATGCGTGGCTCAGTGGTTAGGGCTCCCGTTTTGAATTTCGGGTCTTGGGTTCAAACCCTCCTGGTGCATTTTTTTTGTTCTTTTTCTAAACTCACTTGCAACACAAATCCAACTGCAATCTATTCCCGGCTCTCATCTCCTTGATCTCCTGAGAGCAGAAGAATGGAGCATCGTCATTCAGCGAGTCTCTATAGTACGAGTAAGACAATTGAGCAAAAACCACTCCAGACCCGTTGGCAGAAATGGTGACCAGATCATTCAAAGAGCTCAATTGATAGGATTGAAGAACAATCGAGTTTCGGAGATTCACATCAATGGTATGGGAGTGTTTTCCGTTCTGGATGTTCACTTGACTCATGTGCTTGTCGGAATAAGTGACAGCAGCATAGGAAGAAAGGGCTTGAAGAGCCATAACTGTATCCTGGGTGGAGGTAAATCCTCCAAGCTCGTTACGTTGAGATACAAGCCAACGGATGATGGAGAGGGCTTCGGAAGTTTGGTTTTGAGCAAGGTAGGAGAGAACGGCGTATGAGGTGGTTTCAATGTCTACTGGGCGGGCCTGGAAATGCGAGTAGTGAGAAACTGAGTACTTTATACTAATTATTTTGTCCTCAATTTTTGCAATGAACCGAGTTCAAAGCGTTTGAAGTTGGGAGAGAGACGCAGGCAGTCAGACGCTCTAGCATGTCTGCGTCTCTTCTCCAACTTTGGACGCTGATATCTCGGTTCATGTAGAAAATTTGAAAATGTGACAAAATGCATAAATGACCACTCTCAAAATCTCTATCGATTGATACTGAAATTGCCGAGAACATTTTTTTTCGAAAAATACTTTTTAAAGTATTTTCTAACCCTTCAGAATGGAGCGAATACCGTTTGATAGATAATTTCCTGCTGATTATTGTTGTCTATTACCACTCTTCTTTGTTTCTTCAATGAACTGAGATATAGCAGTTTGAAGTTCGAAAAGAAGCGCAGACACGCAGACGCTCTAGCCTGTCTGCGTCTCTTCTAGCTCTAGCTTCTTATGACTCGCCTCATTGAAACGATATAAATATACCAAAAGACACCATAAAAAAACCAACCTGGAAAATGTATGCTCTCGCTTCCTTCGGCTTCTCTGTCTTCTTCTGAGCACTTGCAAACTTCACATCTCCACTCTTCTCAACCACCTTATGCTTCTTCAACATGTCAAATGCCTTTCCAGCCTGTTTACTCTTTGCCAACTGTAGAGCATAGGCAACCACAGCCATTGTATAAGCATTTCCAGAGATCTCATCCAAATGCTTCTCCAAATATGCAACAGCTTTTCCATTCTCCATTCCATTCTCCAGAATCGAAATCAGAACAAATGCAGTTAGAGCGACTCCTCCATCCTGTGCACCTCCTTGCATATCCTTATGATGGACCTCTCCTCTCTCAGCGAATGCTCCCGACTCCATTTGTTGGGAGTTCAGGAAGGCGACAGCACGGGAGATGACATTAGGGTCTACGAAGGCGTATTGTTTGGCATGGTGGAAGGAGCGGACGACGAATGCGGTAAGCCAGGTGGAGCCAGCTTTGTCACTGTCACCGAATGCGGAGAAGGAGTTGTCAGCACGCCTGAAACAAGGATTAGAAGGGATAAAAAGTTAGGTTGCCGGCCAGCTTGGCTTTTCTTTTCTCAAACAGTCCAGCCAATCAGCATTGGACCGGAGCTCAAAAGCTGGTGAGCCGGTCGAATTCAGAACTGGCATCAAACTCGCTGCACGCGGCACTGCAACCGCCGCAAGTTTGAACACCGCGTCATTTTTTGTGTCCGGCTAATCTAGAAACTGTATCCAGGGCTGCCTGACGCGTTGCGGTTGCGTCGCGGCTATTTCCATATTTTATCCCAGACCATTCATTAAAACTCACTTATAAGTCAACTCTCTCTGAATTCCCTGCTCAATATACTTGATGGCTTTCGCCTCCAACTGACTTTCATTCCTATTCGTTGCTCTCAAATACTTTACAACCAGAATATTCGGAACCAAATTCAACATGTTTTGTTCTCCACATCCATATGGCATCTGCACAAGCTTGTGAGCATTATTCAACACTGGTCCCATCATATCTCCAATCACATCAATTCTAGCCTTCTGTGATCCATCAACAACGTCATTTGGCCAGATCAGATCAAGAGTTTTTGAGAATCCTTCTGTCGAATTATTGTTGTTCATATCAATCACAAATGGAATGTTCCGATCCACTCGATATCCTTGTGGCTCTACTCTCAAATTCATCTCCACAGCATCTCCTCCTTGAGAGGCGATTGCACTGATATGGACTGGAATTTCACCGATGGAAGAGGGAACGATTGGGAAGTAGACGGCTTTGGAGGTTCCTCCACCGGCTACTGAGACCACACGGACGTTTTGTTGACCGACTTCGTCGCGTTTCACTACGGTTCCGTCTTTTTTGAGGAGGTCGTATCCGGAATCCTGGTCGTATTTTAGGGTGACGGTTACCTGAAAAACTTTGATTTGAGGATGATTACGTATTGGGCGTTGAAATTGACGACAAGCTTTGGAAGTGCGCCTCCGGCGCTTCGGCAGTTCTGTTTTCAATTTTAAAAAACTCACATCCTGCTCCTTTTCCATATAATTGAAAACCAGCACCAGTAGAGCGAACTTCTCTCCTCTTCTGACTGCATATGGCAGGTTTAATTGAATGAAGAATGGACGGAATACACGAAGTTTCGAGGAGGTTGGAGCAACTCCAAGACCATTTTCCTCATTGATAGCGAATGTAGAGGCAACCCAAGAGGTAATGGTGTCCGGAGCCTGTACTTCCAGCTCCACTTCTCCGCTGAAAATTTTTCAGTGTTCGTTTCCTTATTGTTACTCCCAGACCACAACCAACCTAGTAGAATTCAAATCCGACCAAATCCAAGTGTGCGGGAAGAACTTTCTAACAGTTGGTGGTGGTGGAGCAGCGCCAGCCATTGGAGCAGGTGCAAATGCGGCCTCAGCCATCACTGGATTACTATCCATCATCATAACTAAAATGTGGTTTCCAGATGCATCAGTTGGTAAGCCTAAGGAAAAACAAACCTTTGTTTCGTCTCATGAACTTACCAGGGAAAAACTCACGTTGCGGCTCACGGTAGAGAAGAGCGTCGGTGAGCACAACAAGACCGGCGTTCTAATAATTTTTCAATTTTTTCGTCTATAAGAATCTCTTAAACTTACAGTAAAGATGGATTGAGCATCACTTCCTCCAATTCCCCACCATGGTCTCCAAATAGATCTTTTCTTTCTGTCAATAGCTTCCCATGGTCTGATTCCTCCTCCATATCCAACATTATTTGAGTCATAGTTCTCCAAGTCGGTCTCCACTTTTTCTCTTGTTATATCATTTCCGGTCTTCAATAGAAGCACACTTTGATCCACTACTAGAAGTCCGACGAAGGAATTTTTGTCAGAAGTGACTTTGAATTTCACATTTTGTCCTGGTTCAACAGCTTGCTTATCGATGGAGAGAGACACTTGGTTCTGGAAGATTCCTTCCACTTTGAAGTCGAGAGCATCCACGAGAACTTCTTGGCTGTTCTCGATGATAGCGTAGACGATCAAGCGGGATTTTGGAGCCATCTGAATTTTTTTTTTGGATTTTTGAAATTTAAACACCAATCGATAGAGAATTCTAAGCTCGTCATTTTTGTCTCTTGAAATTTCTCTCTCTTTTCTCTACGAACCGAGATATAGCGTTTAAAGTTGGGAAAGAGACGCAGGCAAGCTAGAGCGTCTGCTTGTCTGCGTCTCTTTCTTTCTCGCCTGACTCCTAATAGCTATATCTCAGTTCATTGAACAGATAGAGAAAAATGGCAAGAGACAAAAAGAGTTGTCTTGAGATTCCCTATCGAATGGTTACATTTTTGGCCAAAGAAAAAGCTCACATTAGCAGTAGCTGGGAAGCTAATCGTGGCGTGCTCGGCATTCACCACCATTTGTTGGGAAACAACGATGTTCGATCGGGACATGACCTGGAATTTTTTCTATTTACAGATAATGCTGTTTTTATCGTACGCATCAATCGAGTTCTGAGCATCTGACAAGGGAAGTCCTTTTGGTTCCCACTTTAACTTTTCCTATAAATTCGGGTAGACACATATTCGACCCTGGAGATTCCATTTTCGAAATAAAAATTGGCTAAATATTCACGTGGAGTGAGTTGTGACCTAATTCATACCTTCTAGGGCATTTATCTCGCTTCAAAACAGGTTTTGAGAAGTTCTGAATAGTGAGAAAGATTGTCCATGTATAGCCGAACAATTTCTGACCAATTGGTAATATAATTTTTTTAGGTCAACATCGACCTACCAAAAAAAAAGTAGGTAAGATTTTTATACCATCGGATAGAGCTCGTCGAGTTACATCGAAAAGTCTATTACCATTTTTTACGAAAATCACTTTTAGGTCACGTTTTGGGGCCTAGAATGGGGAATCTCTGCCCCTTGACATTTTCGTCCTTTGCTTGAGAAACACTCTTCAGAAACTGGCTCCTAACTTTTGAAGGAAGCATTTTCAGAAAAAATGATCAACTACAAAGTTGTTCCTCATGTAATTTGTAACAACTTTTTAGTTGATTATTTTTCAGAATGATGGATAGTTTCGAAGATACAGGTCACAGAGTGAGAACAACCTATTGGTCAAATTTGACCTAAAAAATTTATTTTACCAATTGGTCAGAAATTGTTTGGCTATACATGGACAATCTTTCTCACTATTCAGAACTCCTCAAAACCTATTTTGAAGCGAGATAAATGCCCTAGAAGGTATGAATTAGGTCACAACTCACTCCACGTGAATATTTAGCCAATTTTTATTTCGAAAATGGAATCTCCAGGGTCGAATATGTGTCTACCCGAATTTATAGGAAAAGTTAAAGTGGGAACCAAAAGGACTTCCCTTGTGAAGCTCAGAGAGAGAGAGAGACGCAGACAAGGCTAGACTGTCTGACTGTCTGCGTCTCTGCCCCATTGGTAAGATAGAGGACAGTGATCTTACCTGATAAGTGATAGTGCTCAACGGCTGTGTAGCCTTCA